CATTTTGTCAATTTTTGAGTGCTATATAGTCCATAGACTTTTTGGTGATCTGGAATTCCGACCTCATTTTTGCCAAAAGATTTCATGGACGTCCGTTAAGACCTTAGCTTTGGAGCCAGTTGGCCCTCACGGCCAAAACGTCCCATTTTGAAGGTCAAACGAACCCCAGAGCAGGTAAACCCCCCATTTTTTCGATTTTCGTGTGCTATAGTTCACCATCTTCTTAGGTGATCTGGATTCCGACCTAATTTTTACCAAAATATTTTGTGGATGCCCGTTAAGACCTTAGCTATGGAGCCAAATTGGCCCTCACTGCCAAAACATCCCTTTTTCAAGGTCAAACGGGCCCCGGATCAGGTAAACCTCCCATTTTGCCAATTTTTGTGTTCTATAGCTATGGAGCCAGTTGGTTACTACGGACAAAACTGCCCATTAACAAGGTCAAACGAGTCAGAGCAGGTAAACCCTCCATTTTTCTGATTTTGTGTGCTATATTCCACGAGATTTTAAGGTGACCCAAAATTTCGACGTCATTTTTTCTAAAAATTTACATGGACCTATGTTAAGACCTTAGCTGTGGAGTCAATTGGTCACCACGGCTAAAACAACCCATTTACAAGGTCAAACGATCCCCGGAGCAGGTAAACCCTTATTTTTCCGACTTTCGTGTGCTATGTCTATGGAATTTTTTGGTGACTCAGAATTTTGATGTTATTTTTGCCAAAAATTTATGTGGACCTCCGTTAAGACCTTATCTAAGGAGCCAGTTGATCACCACGGCCAAAACGGCCCATTTACAAGGTCAAGCGAGCCCTGGAGCAGGTAAATTCCCCATTTTGCCAATTTTCGACGTCATTTTTTCCAAAAATTTATATGGACCTATGTTAAGACCTCAGCTATGGATCTAGTTGGCATCTAAAGCTTAGTCTAGTCACTATTATCTTGCAAATTTCCTATCGAAAGCATGTACCCAACGATTTATTTCAACTTGTATTGCAGTCACACCCCAAGAACCTTTCCCCATACTTGATTTTCTTGTTAATTTCTGCTATTTCTAACTACTTGTGACAGAAACCCCATTTGATATTTGACACTTTTGTGTCACCCCCTTTAACTTACTATGTTTTTACTCGTTAATTTCTTTAGCTACGACTAGTTAGAGCTCAATTTTATTTTTCTATTAATTCTCAAAACCACTCCCTTGGAATGACCCCAAACCTTGGTTGGGTTATTATACTATTGCACAATCGTAGACACATTGAATTGGAAGCTTGTGTCATTGATTACGGCAAACATCAACAGCCAAAACGGCCTATTTTCAAGGTCAAACGAACCCTAGAGCGGGCAAACCCCCCATTTTGCCGATTTTCGTTTGTTATAGTTTACCATCATTTTTGGTGATCTGGAATTCCGATGTCATTTTTGCTGAAATTTTTCATGGACGTCTGTTAAGACCTTAGCTATGGAGTCAGTTGGCCCTGACGGCCAAAAAGGCTCATTTTCAAGGTCAAACTAGCCCAGAGCAGGTAAATCCCCCATTTTGCCAATTTTCCTATGTTGTAGTTCACCGATTTTTGGTGATCCATAATTCCGACGTCATTTTTGCTGAAATTTTTCATGGATGTCCGTTAAGACCATAGCTATGGAGCCAGTTAGCCCTAATAGCCAAACCGACTCATTTTCAAGGTCAAACGAACCTCAGAGTAGGTAAACCCCCAATTTTGCCGATTTTTGGTGATCTGGAATTCTAACGTCATTTTTGTCGATTTTCGTGTGCTATAGTTTATCATCTTTTTTGGTGATCTGGAATTTCGACGTCATTTTTGCTAAAAAATTTCATGGATATCCGTTAAGACCTTAGATATGAAGCCAGTTGGCCCTGACGGCTAAAACAACCCACTTTCAAGGTCAAACAATCCCCGGAGCAAGTAAGCCCCCTATTTTGCCTATTTTCTTCTACTATAGTGAATGAATTTTTGGTGATTCCGACGTAATTTTGCCGAAATTTTTTATGTATGTCTGTTAAGACCTTAGCTATGAAGCCAGTTTGCCCTGACGGCCAAAACGGCCCATTTTCAAGGTCAAGCGAGCCCCGGAGCAGGCAAACCCCCTATTTTACCAATTTTTGTGTGTTATAGTTCACCATCGTTTTTGGTGATCCGAAATTCCGACGTCAATTTTGTCGAAATCTTTCATCGACGTTCGTTAAGACCTTAGCTATGGAACCAGTTGACACTGACGGCCAAAACTGCCCAATTTCAAGGTCAAACGAGCCCCAGAGCAGGTAAACCCCCCATTTTACCGATTTTTGTGTGCTATAATAGTCCATGTCTTTTTGGTGATCCAAAATTCCGACATTATTTTTGCCAAAAATTTTCATGGACGACTGTTAAGACCTTAGCTATGGAGCATGTTGGCCCTGACGGCCAAAACAACCCTTTTTCAAGGTCAAACGAGTCCGGAGCAGGTAAACCCCCCTATTTTGCCGATTTTTGTGTGTTATAGTCCATGATTTTTTGGTGATACGGAATTCCAACGTTATTTTTGTAAAAAAAACTCATAGACATTCGTTAAGACCTTAGTTATGGAGCTAGTTGGCCCTGACGGCCAAAACGGCCCATTTTAAAGTTCAAACGAACCCCGGAGCAGGTAAACCCCCCATTTTGCCGATTTTTGTGAGCTATTGTCCATGGATTTTCGGTGATCCAGAATTTCAACGTCATATTTGTCAAAAAATTTCATGGACGTCCATTAAGACCTTAGATATGGAGCCAGTTGGCCCTGACAACCAAAACGGCCCATTTTCAAGGTTAAACGAGCCTCGGAGCACGTAAACCCCCCATTTTTCCTATTTTCGTGTGTTATAGTTCACCATCTTTTTTGGTGATCCAAAATTCCGACGTCATTTTTGACCAAAAAATTTCATGGACGTCCGTTAAGACCTTAGTTATGGAGCCAATGGGCCCTTATGGCCAAAACGGCCCATTTTCAAGGTCAAACGAGCCCCAGATCAAGTAAACCCTCCATTTTGCCGATTTTTGTGTGCTATAGCTCACAATCTTTTTTGGCAATCCAAAATTCCGACGTCATTTTTGCCAAAATTTTTCATGGACGTCTGTTAAAACCTTAGTTATGGAGCCAGTTGACCCTGACGTCCAAAACGGCCCATTTTCAAGGTCAAACGAGCCCCAAAGCAAGTAAATCCCCCATTTTGCCGATTTTGGTGTGCTATAGCTCACCATCTTTTTTGGCGATCCAAAATTTCGACGTCATTTTTGCTAAAAAATTTCATGGACGTCCGTTAAGACCTTAGCTATGGAGCCAGTTGGCCCTGACGGCCAAAACGACCCATTTTCAAGGTCAAACGAGCCACGGAGCAGGTAAATCCCCATTTTGCCGATTTTCGTGTGCTTAGTCCAATGATTTTTTTATGATCCGGAATTCCGACGTCATTTTTGCCAAAAAATTTCATGGACGTCCGTTAAGACCTTAGTTATTGAGCTAGTGTGTCCTGAAGGCCAAAACAGCCCATTTTCAAGGTCAAATGAACCCCGAAGCAGGTAAACCCAAATTCAAAAAAAATTGCTTGAAAAAGACATTCGAGGCCACAGTTATGACAGTTTGAAGTTTCACCAATTTACAACTACTTTTTCAAGTTTCAATCTCTAATTTGGTGAAACTTCAAACGATCGTAACTTTTGCCTCGGATATCTGTTTGACGCAAAAAAAATTGATCATGGGTGTTTTTTCGAGATCTATTCGGTCAACTCCTTAATTTGTTTTGCTTTTTTATCTTATTATATTTTTATTTGTATAGAATAATTGTCACACAAGGTATTTAGGTAATTTTTTGTTCTAATATTATATATAGTGTCACTACAGAAAAAATCGTGACAAGCGACAAATCATATTCGATCGCTATTTAACGTGAAAAAAATTATACTTATTTTCTTCCCAATGCAAAAGATCATTAATAATTGTATTTGCAAATTAATTATTTCATCAATAACCTAAAATGTTCTTTGATACATGTTTTAAACTGTCAACATTTTTGCAACACTTCTTAATATTCTCTCTCAGTAGAGCTACTCAGTGAATAAGTATCACAAAAAAAGGAGTCATTTACATTATGATGATGCTAAGACAAACCAAGCTTCAAGGACTTGTTGCATGCTTTTGTATACACTTCATAGTTTATTGTAGTTTCGAATTTTAAATGTAGCACTTTTTGCAAGTATCATCTCTATTATTTATTAGTGGGGAGTGTAATAGTCTGGATTCGTAGAGTTTTTATCAGAATCACACATTGTTTTGATGTTGCTATTCGAAGACTTAGCTTACTGACAAGTTTGCTTGAAATTATATGCCCCTCTGTAATGTTTTAAATCATTTTCTCCAATAATATGTGGTGGAATTAAAGTTTGAATGACTATGCTACTGAGGATGGATCTATAGTGTTGGTTGCAGGTTGTAAATGAACTCCTAATCTTTAACTCTTACATTTGCATATGTCAAATCACAATTTACAAGAATTAGGCGATTTTCTCAATTTTTTCGTGTGTCCATGAATATTTTGATGATATGGCTTTTGGATGAATTTTTTGCGAAACCTTTATGGAACCCTCCGTAGGGAATTAAAGAATCCATATGGGCGGATAGGATGGGCCGAGGGTCCGTGAAAAATTATGTTTTCTATACATGATTAAAATTACAACAATGTTTATGTGTGATACTAGTTGAAGGTTTTTCATGTAAATTTCTATAGGGATTTGTCACAATTGAAAGTAGGCATAGCTAGGTAAGGAATTAGCTCAAGAAACTCTTTAGAAATTGAGATTTACAACTTTAACTATGAGAAATAGTGTAGATTTGGAATATTTTTTAAATAAATTAAAAAAAATAGACAGATAATTACAGCTCTATTTTTATTAATATTGTCCGCATTTAAATATACTTTTATTATTATTTATTTGTATAAATAAATAGATATTAGAGTTTGTTCCCCTTATCTACTTAGATAGAGCTTAATAGAGAGAAGAAGATAGAGCTAAGAAGAATGGCTGTTCACTATTGTTGTTCATTAATGTTGACTTGTCCTTCACCAAAATCCTTGTCTAACAAAACCCCATTTCTGGGTTTGTCCATGGTAGCGCCCTCGTCCCTACCCCTTTCCAGGAACAATCGGACAAGTCGAATTGGCTACCAAGACAAAGCTGCGTATATTCCTCTTGACCAGCGATGGATGTTCGAAGAATCTGAAATCGATGGCCCTGTAAACTTCTCCTTTTTTCTCGAATTTTGGGGGAAAAAACATTGTCTTGATTGAATGGAGAATTAAATAACTGAATTCTTGTTTCTTCGTCTAGGACATTTGGAACGAGACATGGTATCCCAAGGCTGCTGACCATGTGAACACTGACAAACCTTGGTATATCATTGATGCCAGTGACAAAATTCTTGGAAGAATGGCATCAACTATAGCCATACATATGAGAGGGAAGAATCTGGCCACATACACTCCAAGTGTTGACATGGGCGCATTTGTCATAGTGGTAAGTAGTGTGTTTTTCTCTAACCATCCTTTGTCAATTATAGGTTCCATATCCTCAATACTAGATCTCTTTTATTTGCTAGTCTGCAATTTTATATCTGAGCAATTCTGTTTTTACTTGAACACCAAAAGATTAATGCTGAGAAGGTTGCTGTATCCGGGAAGAAGAGGAGCCAAAAACTTTATAGGAGGCACTCCGGCCGACCAGGTGGGATGACAGTAGAGACTTTTGATCAACTGCAACAGAGAATTCCTGAAAGAATCATTGAGCATGCTGTCCGTGGCATGCTTCCCAAAGGGAGGGTCAGTATGCATGCTTTACTATTCTGTTGTTTCATGAAGATGTTTGGCAATTTACATATAATTATTAGGGACTCCATTAATGCATCCATGGAACTTACAATATACTTGTGTGTCTGTGTGTGTGTGTAGTATTTATCTCTACACACACATATAAACCAAATGATTGTACATCCTAGATACACCTGTGCATAAAAGACCCTTAATCTGTATGGCTATTGTATACACTAGGCAGATGTGAATTATGCAACAGTGTCTTCTGGTAGAAATTGACAAGGTCATTTATTGGATCGTGGTGATTGCACTTGCTTTGCCTTGAATCACTGATTACAATCAGTAGAAAAAAGATAGATTTCTGCATTTTATACACTCCACTCCACATTCTAAAACGATTCAATTTTCTGTTTATGCAGCTTGGTAGACAACTATTTACACATCTTAAGGTGTATAAAGGTCCTGAACATCCTCATGAGGCACAGAAACCTGTTGAATTGCCCATTAGAGACAAGAGGATACAGAAGCAACGGTGAACTCCAAGTGATTCCAGCTCTCATTTTTGGCTGTTGATACTCCTTTAAGTTGTCTGTTGAACTTCATATTTGAAATTGTACCTGGGCTCCTGCTTTTCTTTTCTTCTGTAGAGGTTTTCCATTACAAATTTATTTGCCTACACCTCATTGATGTCCTTTAGGTTTCAGTTCTAATGAATATTTCTTCACTCCCCTCGTTCCGTGTCCTTGTGTTTGAGGTTTTATAAGTTATTCAATTTGGCATTCTAAGTTCCATGCTGGTGAGAGCTAGCATTTGAATTGTGTTTTTTAGAAAATAAGTAAAAGTTTAACATTTGCGATGGAACGTTGAAGATTCAAAAAGAGACTTGAAATTCACTTTCGCACCTGTTTTCAATAGAAAATTATTTTTTTCACAATCAGGCTAATACTTTGTTCACTTTCACAAACTGACACCGACTTGCAAGTTAAAAGACCATTATTTTTACAAATGAAACCACAAATAAATGCTTTGAATTTTATTGATACAACTGCAGCGATATGTTTGCCAAGATGAGTGGCCATACAACACCAAAACTTTTATGTAAACTTCAAAACTGATTGATTAAAATTTGTTCATTTTGCTTGGTAGTGAAGTTGAGGCCTCCGTTAAACCGTGGTCATCAAACCCCATTCTTAACATTCCTCATATGTTTGGTAGAAGAGTTGAAGGATCAGAAGGAACATCAGCACTTGCCTGCCAAAAAAAAAAAAAAATAACTCCAGTGAACCTCCAATGAATATAGTCTCCAAGTGTTAAGGAAGCAATAGCACATCAAAATTGTGAAATGAACTACTTATCATAAAAACGCAATGAACCCTCTGGTGGGTTGTCAAGGCTTAGGCACTAATGGGTCTTTTGGTCCTACTCACAGTATAAAACTTAGAATTACATTTATCCCGTGTTTGGTCAGTGTTCTTGGCTGATACGATATAAATCTATCCCATATGTGATGTGGAATTATGATCCCAGGGGGACATCCTTGGTCCATACCAAGCGACCCCTAAGAATAGCGAACTTCTATTCTGAGACTAAGTCGTGCAAGTGATGTGAACCACTATCCAATATGCTTGTACCACCATATTGTTGCTAACTTACATGGAACTCTTGCACTTGCCCCATGGCACCAGAAGCACCACCATATTGTTGCTAACTTACATGGAACTCTTACACTTGCCCCATGGCACCAGAAGCCAGGGAAAATAGAGAGAGTTATGTTTTACAAACTCACGATTAATCAGGGGTCAATGCCCATGAAAGCAGTCTAGAATACATAGAAATAATCTTCTTGGAATTAATGTCCAGAAAAAGATATCTTAAAAATTTACCTTAAGCATAAAAGAGTTAACCAAAAGAGGCCAGAGGAAGTTTTAATGGGAAATCAATGCAGTGTCCCATGAAGGAATTAAATGACTTCAATCTGAAGATTCTTTGGATGAAAATTGTTTCGTGTTGCCTAAGAACTGAAACACGTTAACATGTCTGAATGTTGCCTATTTAACTTCAAAAATAAAAAAGTTTAACTTTTCTTTTCTTTTCTTTTCTTTTCCAGATAAGCTTGGAAATGTCAAATCTCATTTTCTAAAGTAGCATATTTCCAAAAGTGAAAGAAGAACTTCCATGCAACAATCTGGGTGATTTGCTGGGATACCATAAGCAACCTTGTTACCCAGGATTTGAGAACTCAAGTTTTTCCACTTTTGGTCTAACGAAATCATGTCATACCTCGAGATATCTTGTTATCAACGTTTTGGTGCTGAAATTGAAGCCTTCAACTGATTCTCCTTTCTTACGAGATGCATGAAGTTGCTTTCTAACTTGAGTCGCTAGAGACTGCAGAGGACATTAATAAACAAGGTAACTCAGTATTGTATTAGTATCATAGAATGTTCAATTACTCAATTTTAAAGCATTCTCTTAGAAGTACCTTTCCTAGCTCCACACCCCACTGATCAAAAGAATTGATACACCATACAAACCCTTGGACTGCAACTCTGTGCTCGTAGATGGCCAGTAACTGAAAGAAAGGGAAGATGATAGCGTTAAGATGAGATTAGGGATCACAAGAAGAGGCATGAGTCTTTACACGGGGATAATTGTCCCTACTTGCAGCATGCCACAGAAATGAAGACAAAGGTCAAGATGAAAGATATTATCTTGAGAAAACACCATAATCAAACAGGAATCTCCTTTAATCAACCATGACAAAGAAATGTCTGAGAAAATATAATGAGCATTCTCTCACCATCCTACAGGCAATACTACTACTTGCAAACACTGTGTCAAGTTCATCAACTGTCAAATTATCATTAAAGGTGGTCTAAAATGTAGCTCTTCTCTCACAGGATAATTTGGTTAGTACTAGTATACCTATTCCACCCTTTTAGCCTCTTCTCCAACTGCAAAGAAACACGGCAGAGATCTCGGGATAAAGGAGATGCATAATTCCAGTATCGGGGATCGTGAGTTAGTTTTCTAACAGAAATGTGGCTCTGACTTTGACTTGAAACAAGCTATCTCTCCCTCTGCATCTTTATTTATATCTATTTCTATAGGAGCAAATTAGAAAGGCTTGTGTCCTAACGTGGGACTTTATACCAGCTAAGGGACATGTACTATCAAGTCATTTATTGACTGTAAAGAAGCAAGAGAAGAGATTGGAGGAATGTACATCGACTAGCTTCACATGGAACTTTTAAAGGGATTAAGATCACCGAGTACAAGATTCAATTGGTCATTGCAAGTAGCAAGTTATTAGCTTTTCAGTTAATTAATTTTATATGGTAATTTCATTGAAGAAATTTATTTGGCAAAATGTAATATCAATTGACCTCAAAGGAATCACCTCATTGTCTCTTTCAAATGCAGTAAGCTATTCTTTCTCACGCTTTCCCCCTAAGCTCTACTACTCAAAAATAAATAAATGGGCAGCCCATTGCACGAAGCTTGCATTAGTGACAAACAAAATTCATATGAAAATCATTGATGCAGTTCAAGAAAGGTAGCACTAAGTTTCACACGGTCACTTATACAATTGTACAAACTCAACTCATAGGACATACTGTGTCAATCAAAACTCAGAAACACTTGTAAAATACTTTAATGTCTAATATCTCATACCTGTCCGATGTTGTAAGCATTCAATGATGGAAGTAGTATACTTAGAGAAGGTCGATTTCCAGAAAATGTCTGCAAGATATTGGAGGAGTTTAAGAATAGACCTCTAAGTATAGCACAATATCATCAAGTAAGGAATGTACAAAATACCTTATGAGAAACAAGATGCTCAGGAATATTCTCCTTTTGCAACTGCTCTGGTGTCTGCGGAGAAAGTTGATACTGATAATCAATTGAATGATATATATTTCCTAATTTTAACTATACAGGTATGTGGTGGCCAGTGGGTATATTGTAAAAAAGAGAAAAAGTGTCTCGCCTTCCCATAAGCAAGGGCATCTGGCTGCGCAAAGAAGTTCGACATGAGCTCATCATGGTTATTCACCACTTCATCTGAAAATGAGTTGCCCAAAATTAGATAAAGGGAAGCAAATGGAATAAGCAGCAGACTGTACCTAGGTGTCAATGTTTTATTTTGTCTTCCTCTGTAAAATGGGAATGAGAGACCATGAAATTAGGCTAGAAAAGTAGCTTGTTAGCTACCTTTCACCTTATAATTGAATACTTTAATTGTGTTTGAGCTAGAATCTAAGCATTACATAATTAATATGTGTGTTTCATTGTGTAGGACTTGTTCTCCAGTAGAACTAATTTGGAGCGAAAACAGATGAAATGAAGCTTCCAAGTCTGAATAGAAGTTCAAGGAAATTAACCAAAGTCAAGCTCATGGGTCGGGAACAAAGTGTGCATGAGAAAAATTGACAAGAAAAAATAAAAGACCCAAAATTACCCTAGCACCGTATGGCACGAGGTGCCAGGGCAATTTTGGATCAGAACTGCAGAAATTATGGTCTTGGGAAATCCCTTTTGGCACCGCATGCCAAGCATTGTGTGGCACACTGTGCAAGGTCAATTTGGGCTATCTGTTGTTGAAATTAGAGTCTCGGGATTTTACTCTTAGCACGGCGTGCTAGGCTAATTTTGGGCATGTGTGATCCTGCTTAGGTTCATTAAGGGTATTTTTGTACAAGGTCATTTCTACACAGTATAAATACATGGAAAGCACCACTTGGAAGGACTTTTGACCTACGAAGATGTAGAGGAAGGCTCCTCGCTTGGAGACATGAGGATTCGAAGAGTTCCCATCAATGATCAATTAAATGCAATAGTTTGTATTGAGAAGTTGGTTGTAATGTTTTCTAGTTTTTTATTCTTATTTCCAATGTACTTCTTTTCTACGGAGTAATTTTCTCAAAGGACATAGACGGATAGCTTAATGTCACCCATATTGTATCAAGGGAGTGATGTATGAAGATGTTCGACGGTTGTAGCCAGTGTTGTGTATGGCGGCCTTGTCGGCCCAGATTTCCTGTGGTTTTGAGTCTTGAAGTTGTGTGGTTTCAGTCGGTTCGCTCAGTCAAGTGAGCCACCCGGTGCCGATCGCACCTCCCCGGGTTTGGGGTGTGACATCTTCACATCGTATGGTTCGGTTCATATTTAGTAATTCTTCTAAGTAATTGGAAGCACTTATAAATTATTAATCTGAACTGAAGTTAGAAAACATCTGCATGGAGTTTTCCTTGAACAAATCTCATCACCTTGCACAAGTTTGTAATGGTTTCATTATTTTATCTAATGAAAACTGAGTTAATTCTAAAGAAGAATCTCTGTTAGCAGCAGATGATCTAATTAATTATTGAATTCACAAGATTCAATAATACCAAGAAGCGAACCTTGAATAAGAGTATATCCTTAGAGATTAACCTATCTCGTTGATTGCCCTAGTTCGTCTCATTGTAAATTATCATCCACTGCCCGTTTCACGAATATCTCATGAGTCTTTAACTTGTTTAATTTCCATTGCAATGCTCGTGGTTTATAGCCACCTCAGCTACAAGAATAGTTATTTGTGCCAATCCTTGTGGAAATGATAAACTCTATACTATCTTTCATAACCACAAGGATTACATTTTATATATCGCTCATCAGACCACATGGAAAAGAAGAACAAGAATATAAAAGTAAAAGGAATTGATACCTTTCAGGTAAATAGGTTGCTGACTCTTAACAACACCAATAAAATCACAAGGAATAACACGACCCTGAAAATTCCAGGAAGATGGTGTTCAATATTCAAGTGAGATTTTGTAAAAAACTAAACATACCAAGAGTAGATACATGAGCACTTGTTTTACTAATAACAATCAGAACAAAAAATAATTCAAGAAAAAAGTATGGCATTCCAAGCAACATTTGATCTGTACCTTTTATGATATCTTAAAAGAGTATAAAGCTGAAATATATAAAGTTAAGGAGACTGATAAAACGAGGTAACATCATCAAATAGAAAACAAATAACTAATTCCACTCAAATAACACCCCTGGAACCCCTTTCTTCTTTCAGCTTGCCTTTTGGGGTGGTTGTTTGAGGGGGAGGTGGTTACTCTTCTTGCAGAGATGGAGATGTAAGTAAGAGTTGTGGACCGTCATCGCTAACCAACCCTAGAACCTCCAAATTGACATCCTTCCAGAGCCACATCCCCAAAAAAAAAAAAATGAAGAACCAAAGCACCACCTAATAACAACAAGACTCACAAATTTCCTAAATTAATTCACGTGATATATTACATAGCATGTCGAAACTATAGTTTGTGGGACAGGAAGGCAAATCGGATTTTCTAATAACCTTGTAGGTCTTCTTCAGATTATATCATTAATATGCTCGAAGATTCTTAATTCAAGCAAAAGAGTAATACGCTTTTCTTACAGCCGCTTTTCGCACGAGATATTTTAATGACATAATCCCTACACCTACAACAACAAAATAACAACATAAAGCTTCTACAATTACATTTTAATTAAGTTGAACAGTATATTAAGATAAAAATGTAGTCAACAAACTGTAAGTGTTAATACAATCTTGAACAAGAAGAAGTTGACACATGTTACCTGCCTAAATCAAGTACAGAATGGGTATAATTTCAGGAAAAAAACATGAAGTCTTGAAACTGGAAATTTATGCTACCTGGTGAATTAATTGGTAAAAGCTGTGTTGGCCATTCGTCCCTGGTTCACCAAAGTCAATTTCACCAGTCTGGTAAGGAAGAGGGACACCATCAATAGACACCCCTTTCCCATTACTCTCCATACTGACCTGAATTCAATCAAATTTTTGTAAAGGACGTAAGTATGGCATCTAGAATAACATACAAGCAAGAAAGTTAAGAGTAACATGCCTGTTGAATATGAGGTGCCAACTTCTCCAGTGCTTGAGAATAGGGTAATATTGCCTGAAATATCAAATGTTTAGTAGTATGGTAATGATGAGTCAACCAGATACCCCACAGGGAAGCAGAATGATAATATACTCACTCTTGCTGGATATCCAAGGAATGAAACATTCCACACACTCAGCAAGCCTAAAAGCACCTGAAACAACGATGTGATATTAAGAATCAAGCAATTGAGTTTAGTGATGTGATATAAGCAAATCAAGCATCTGACTAGAAAAGCAGAATATAAAGTTGCTATTAGCAGATAATACTTGGGATTGAGGCGTAGAATTTGTTATATTGGCAGAATAATCCAATAACCAAAGGTGCAAGTAATTGCAAAAGAATCTTCAAGAGTTCGATGTATGAAGAGAATGAGGGAAAAATAGAAAAATAAAGCTAAATACAATTTATTGCAGAGAAATAAAGAGGCAACAAAGTGTATATATAAAATATGTAACAAAGCCCGGAGCTAGGAAAGCTTTGATCCTTATGAAACAAACAGGTAACAGAGAAAGAGGCCTAACCACAGAAGGGAAAACTTAAGATTCACTAGCTTGGTAAGAATAATCAGAATGCAAACATGCCAGACGGGACCAGGCTAGAAGACACTGAACCGTCCCAATCGTCATAACAGCTGATCATGCAATTAAAGCTACAAACCGTTTGATTGCTCTGGGAAAATTGTATCCGACAACGAATCAAGGGTACAGGCTTGGCTCAATATCTGGGTAGAGATGCAAACTTAATCAACATAGCACCTCATTGGCTAGGAGTAGAATGAAGCTACCAGTCTAAGATATGGAGGAAACACAAGGAGACATGCTATACATCAGTATAAGCATACACGTACATTTGCATCAAACAATCTGACAAAGTATTTATTGTTTGTGAAGTGTGAATTTTCACTTAGCCCCTCAGTTTGGACTTCTGAACTCTCTAAGGCGGAACGCGCCGCTCACCGATGTAATTACATCACAGTGTATACCAAGTGAACATTACAGAAATATTACAGCACTATGCATAAGAGAACAGAACAATTAAGTATAAGAGAGAACATAAACATAAGTTTCTATGAGCTGGGACATACAGGTATATTTTTCTCAAATGGTGCTGAGAGGAAATGCTGATCAACACTCGAAGCTCCCTTCAGAAATCTTAACACGTAGAGAACATGTCAGAAAAAATTATTAAAGCAGTACAAACAGAAGCAAAAGAAAAAAAGGTAGCAAAACGAAACACCTATAACATGCAACATAACAATTAAGGAAGCTGCTACCCTATGACAACCAATTCTTCGGAAGACAAAACCCTGGGGGCTTCAGATATATAGTGTTCTCTTGATGTAGAAAGTTAATCCGCCAAACCAATAAAGTTGGCAACCAACATCCTAATAATTAAGCTAAGAGATGGAGACACCAAACTATGCAATAGAAGAAGTACAGCCTGCCATCGCTAAGGGGAAAAAGGTGGCAATTTGTTTCCAGTCTAGCTTTTCACCATAAACTCAAGGTAATGATTATGAAATAAAAAAGACCAGATCTTATGGATAGAACTAATCAGCAGATTTGGTTTATACTTGACCTGTCAATAGATCATGAGAAAAGTACACAATTAAAAAACCTATAACGTTTAGGCGTGTACGGTCAATGTCAAGGGTGCATGAGATATTAAAATAACATGAAGGGTCAATGTGCAAAGGTAGCTGCAAATTACTTACTTCTCAACAATGGAAAATCCATATTGCAGAGAAAGAGGCAATACTCCAACTGCGCTGCAGACTGCAAAAAAGGATTACAATAAATATATTTGATAAATTTCCTTTTTTTTTTAGTTAAGTAATCCTTTAATATATATTTAGAACACCAAAATTTGATAGCAAAATCTGTGTGCATCTGCCGAGATACTCTTAAAAAGACTTACCACTATATCGACCTCCTACCCAGTCCCAGAAAGCGAATGCATTATTTGGATCGATGCCAAATTGTTCTACGAGCTGTTACAAATTGATACATTTAGTAAAGAATATAGTGGTCTAATATATAATGTATCTTCAGTGATGAAATTTAAGATCTAGTAAAACCAGAAATCTCTAATATCCTTTATTATGAACAACAAAAAATGTACTCTTCAATCCATACAACAGATGAATTCAACAGAATAAAGTTGCCCAGTCGTTCTGCTTATAACAGATGACATGGAAAATTAAAAATAAAAAGGGTAAAAGGGCTGTGTTGTATACACAATCCAGGTATAATAGTAACACTTGAATATGCATGATCATACTAGCCAAAGCACCACCTAAATAAAATTACACTGTCCTCCCCGGATACAAAGCCCCAACATCCAGGAAGAAGCATATTGTTTAAATTTGTAGGAGGAACAATAGATTAACAATTACTCACTAGATGAGGGAAATTGTAAGACAAACTAGAAGAAGATGCACTATACTTCCTACAAAATGCAACCGATCAAAAAAAAAAAAGACATTCTACAAAATGCACTAATTAGGGGAAAACCTTTTAGGACTATAATTCTAATAGTCATTACTGTTGACCTGGCGATGAAACAGGATCCATTTACATTTCGGGATAAAAATAGAAATAAGCCGTTCTCCAGTACTTCATCATGATTTATCTATAGGAAAATTGGATGTACTCTGATACCCCCTCCAATTGATGGGACTTTTGGAATAGTTAATATTTGTTTAATAGAATCCCACTTCTACAAAACTTTCAGAACTTTCAATAATTCAAAATCATTAGAATATCAAAATTTTGAAGTTGATGGGATGTGATGTGATATTTTCTCTATCAAGCTAACTTTTTGATCATCCCATAAAATTTTCCTTCTACTACTACTAATATAATATATATGTCAAGTTAACATCTAAAACTCTATGTCATGTCAAAGGGTGTGCAAGCTGCAAGTCAGAAATCTTGTGATCCTTTGTCTTAAACAAAGATACACTATCAAAATCAAGCTAAACTCAAAGATACAATATCCCACAAAGGCGAAAGAACAAAAACATGTTTGCTAGAAATAATTTGAATAAGTATGATTTTACTGCAAAAAGTGGTTCAAATGACGCACAAAAAGATGAGCAAAGGAGATGACTCACCTTAAGATTGGTACTAACTGCAACCATATGCTTTGCAACTGCCAGGGGTCTACAAAAGTAAGAATCCCCAGAAAAGGGAGGTTCGAGTCAAACAAAGATTTGTGACAACAAAACCGACACTAAACATCATAAAGAAATAAGCACCGATCTAACATCATAAATAAATAAATAAGCACTGGTCAATACACTTCAGTGCTCTATCCCCCCTGCCCGAGTTGTTTCCTATAGTTTCATATCATCAATGAATTCAACAAATTCAGTGCTTTTGCTGCAGGTCCTATTTTCCTCTCTAATGGGTATCTAACCATATTAAAATCTCCCGCCAATACCCAAAGATCAATAAACAGACCCCTAACAGCTCCCATGCCTCTTGCCTCATCCTGTTGCAATTGGGAGCACACACCACAGTCATGTACCAGTGGAATTCCTGAGTTTTTGGATGAGAATTTGCAGCCCACCCACCCCTGACCACTTGCCTCCAACTAGGCATATCTAACACTCCTCGTCCCCCATAATTGCTCAACCTTATCTTCAATATTTCCTTCTAACTTCGTCTTCTGAAACACAAAATCAGCCTTCCATTTGTGAATGAGACTGCTAATCACTCCTTCCATTTGCTTATCGCTCATGTTTAATCCCCTAACATTCCATGAAATCACTTTTAACGTCATTGATTCATGTTAGTATCTCCCTTCCCCTTGCTTCTACCACCATTGCTTTTGAAATTCATATCAAACATCAGCCCTTTTAATTCATTCATGCCTTTCTTCTCAATTGTGGATTGTTGTGCCTTTTCTGCCTCGTCTAATTGCTTGCCTACTGTTATCAATATTTTTTAAAAGAGGTGACACACACCTTAAAGCAAATACCAAATTGTTTGCTCAGCTTAATTATATTTTGATGCACCCAGAGAGTGGTGTCCATGTCTCTGTCGCTCTCCTCCTGAATCTCCAGTGAGTTTAGAGGTTCTATTTCCTCCACACGATCAGCATCTGGCTCAATTATTATCATTGTATGCATGTCCCTCTCCCCCCCCCCCCCCCCCCTCCCCTGTTTCCGATAATTTTGCATCATCCACCCTCAATGACCATCACGGCACCCTCATAATTATCTCCATGGTCATCACTTTCTTCACTGTCTATTGTCTCCTTCGAATCCTGATATTGTAGTTCTTCTGCTTGTTGCGACACCAATTTATCCAATTTAATAGGGCTGCAGTCATCATTCAGAATTACCAGGGTTTCTTTACCAAATTAAGATTTGTCCAGCAACGGAAAAGTCAACAAAGAATGGACTAAAGATATATATGTCACTGAAAGGTTAAATTAATGTGCCTTCTAGAAAAAGGTTAAATTAATGTGTGCACCATAACTGATGAACCTGGGTTTCTCTTTGCGTAGCTTGATATCACCTTGACAAATGTTATGGTAAAACTTCGTTTGAAACGATGTGGTAGAAAGCAACATGCCAAAACTGAATTTCTCTTAATATCTTTCGAGATGGAAGAGGCAAGACCTACATTCTCTTTAACCAGGTGGGTACTGTGGGTTTTGTTAGAACCAGGACAGTAAAGCAGGTTAATCTAACTTCATGCACAATTGATCCAAGGTAACCACCTCAGGCTAGATAGTCAGTTTCAGACAGAGATACAGACTAAGGTCCCATCAGTTGTACTGTCAATACTTCCCATTAATGAGGCACAGAATTAAAATCAATTGTCCAAAAGTACAACATTAAATATTAATAAATTTCTCTATTTGTAGGAAAATAAACACTGTCACACTTACCCTAATGCAGAGGAGATCCATTCCCTCATTGTACGGGCATTTAGCATTGTCTCGGCAGTAGTAAAAGTCTTCGAGACCACCACAACTTCAAGCAAGACAAGAAGAAATTATCAAGGATAAGTCTGATATATTTACATTTCTCTATTTGTAGGAAAATAACATCAATAAATATTCATTCACCTAGAGTTGTTTCAGGATTCAAGCCTGTTATATTTCGGGCTACATCAATGGGATCAACATTTGCGAGACTGCAACCACAAAGAAATGTAAATGTAATTTTTCTAACAATTCAGAATGAGAGCATTTTCTTTGCTCTAAACTAGAAATATTGGAGTTTTTAAAGCGGGACACAACATGTATGGCAATAGATGCAGGGCAGTGAAAAGGTTACTATCAGCCAAATGAGTTTAGAACAAAACTACTTGCTCAAACACAGAATTGGTTTAAATAATTCCTTCACACTTACAATCGCAACTGGCGCCCTCTTGCACACTCACTAGCCTCTGCTTCTGTAATATGCCAGGTTTAAAATTTCAACATTTGGCTAGTTAAAAACTAGACAGCAAAGAAAGCAAAACAAATGAATAGCTTTTGTTTCGATGAGAGGGTCATATACGTACCTGTTTGAAGTGCTGTGTGTACGAACAAAGGGCCTAAGAAACTGCCACCTATACCAACAGCTACAACATCTTTCAGTGTTTTTCCTGTGGCTCCAACCTATCAAGCATTGCCTCTTGATTAGAGACTTAGCAGTATTGCTTAAATGAATATCTCTTTGATGATCGATATTACCCAGGCACCACTGCGAACCCTCTCAGAGAAGTCTCGAATCTTATCAAGTACGTGCCAAACCTCAGGGACAACATTCTTCCCGTCACTATTTATGACTGCATCCCTTGGAGCACGCAGTGCAACATGAAGAACGGATCTGTTTTCTGTGCTATTTATCTACAAGAAAGATTAAATAATAATGATGGCAAACCACTCACTAGTTGACAGGATAAACATAATAACTAAAAAAAAATCTAAATACTGTAAGAACTAGTAACTTCTCCATTGTTATGTGAGATTCGAGTTGCTAATATCAGATTAACTAATGATCCTTTGTCAGTGTCCCCTAGTCATTAGAGCACACTGATATTGATGGTCAATATTTGAATTAACAAATTCCTATTATTTGAAGGAGAAAAACTGTTTGTACTTTGTAGACAGGAGACAACAAGTAAATCCTTTAAACAGTTTAGTAGCATAGAGGAAATGCAAATTTATACTACTAATACAAAGTGCTTAATGATTTTTCTGATGAAAAGTTTGGCTTCTCATAGGACCAAACGTACTGACAAAAAAAAAATGCCTTTGTGAGTTAGAAGATATCCTAGTTCCTCAATTATATCTAATATGTTGACAAATTATTCTAGTTCCTCAATTAACATTTAAGATGTTGATGATTCCATTTGGCAACAAGACAAAATAAGCATACTGCATTCCCCAATTCGAGTTTAATCCAGTGTATTGAAGAAGAAAGTTATCTTATCCTACTGAAACTATGATAAACTATTCTTCAATATAAATATGATTGCACTAGGCTTACATGCTCTCCATTGAACATCCGAATGATCTTCTCCTTAACGCGTGCTGCCTGCATCAGAATGCGAGGTTAACTTTCGAAATGAGCTGAAAGTGATTCATATAAGGAAACAAACAAACCTCAGCTAAACTGAAGAGCTTATTCAATGTATCAAGGGTGGCTCTTTGTCTCGAGTAATCGATCAGAATCCCATCAAACTCCCTACACATGGATTAGGTATAAAATCATCAAAATGTTTCGAAAAATTTAGGAATTAAAGCAAATAAGTATCATACACCATCATTGATTGGCATCGATTATTGTTATTCATCAAATCACGCAAATGAGTTTTGTTAATTTCTTCAACATGAGCCTGCGATACAAGAGAAATTTCACATTAATTACAACATATATAAGAGTAATTCATATTCATAAAATTGTGAAATTGCTTACTCGCAAATCATTCCAGGACTCAGTATCGCTAATTAAAGCAGACGAAGCCATCTCTGAAAAAATTTCACTCTTTCGAGACGAGACGATTAGGAGAAGAATATGAATTGGAGCTGTGTTGAATTGAACAGATAGATGTACTGATTTAAGGCCAAAAAGGGAAAAAGTATTGGCCTCAAAATTAAATAAAAACGTTCCTATTTATATCACTATATATATGTTATCCTTATTAAAAATAAATATTTCATTATAAAATTAATGTATATATTATATTATTTTTCCTATTTTATTTGAGGGTTATTATTCTCGAAAATATGAAAAGTTAAATGATTAATTGATATTATTGATCAATTTAATTAATCAAAATAAATTAATTTATATTTATTTATTGAAAAACATGACTTCAAGATATCACTAAATAAAGGTAGAGAAAAGGATCTAATATACCGCTTTCATACCCTCGTTATGAAAGTGGCCCTATTGTTATGCAAATGGTTCACATATATTATTTTTTTCTAACGGAAGCGAAAAAATTAATTTTTAAAATAAATATAATCCATATGAGTATATTTGATCCTTATCAGATGTATCTCTTTTTTTTTAATTTATTGTTTCAACGACTAATTTAAATTTATTATTTTGATGGTGAAAAAAAATTATGTTTCACTAATTTTTTTGTAAAATTTATTATAGATGCACCATTTTTTGTTACAAATACAAAAATTAAATTACAATGTAGCCGAAAAAAATAGTTTTAAATTATAATATAGCCACAAAAACATAGTTTTAAAAAAAATTTCTTTACTTTAAAGAATGAAAGAAACAAATAAGAATAAAAACTCAAATAATGATAATCAAGAAGTCAAAAAATAATATATGTATGAAAAAAAATTAAATTAAAATATACCTTGAACTTTACTAGAAGGATCATATATATATCTATATGAATTTTTTTTAAAAAATTTAAAATTAATATTTTTTCACTTCCATTAGATGAACGGTATATGTGAGCTCCTTTTGTAACAGTAGGGGTATATGTGAGTCATTTGTATAAAAGTAAGGATATATATGAGTCACTTTCAAAACGAGAGGCATATCAGTTCTAAATGACAAAATTGAGGGGTATATCGGGCTCTTATATAATAAATTTATTTAGTTTCTTAAAAGACGTAAAATCTAAAACTGTGACATATAAATATGAAAAGAGAATGAATTTATTGTCGGTACTAATTGAAATTTTCCCAATAGTAGTAGGTTAGCAATCTTTTACCGATTATTATGTGCATATTTTTGAATTTTTCTTGTTTGCTTAAAAAAAAAAAGAATTGATGAAAATATAATTAAAAGTAATTGTTATTACTAATTGAAACTTTCTTAATAGTTTATTACCAATCTCTTATTGATTATTAGGTGCATATATTTGAATTTTTACTATTTGCTAAAAAAAAATATACGATTAATGTAGTTATAATTAAAAGTAACAAGCAATTAAATTTGTAGTTATTTCTACTTTTTTTAAATTTTCTAATTCACTTCAATTTGAATCAATCATATTCTAATATTGACTTTTGTAAAATTGTTTTTCATTCTTTGAGTGTCTAAAATATATGAGTTTGAAATCCACTAATTTATAAATAAAATTGTTTTTTTTAATATTTTATTACTAAACGTGATACACACATGTAAAGCAAAAGTGATTATATTATTGAATATTGAAGTAACAATTAATGAAATAGAAATAAATATTCAATTAAGTCTAATGATCCGTGCAGTACTAGGAAAAGATTGGATCACAAAGATGGAGTCATAGAGTTACGATGTTACTATAAAGTTATATAGTATTTGGTTCCAAATATCAGGAACTCCAGGTAGACACCAGTGACTACAGTCCATTCCAGTTAGGCCATAAATAGAAGGATGTCCATCTTTACGCAATAGGCAAAGATTTGTTACATCAAGCAATGTTACTGGCTTCTCCATTAATGTGTACAATACTTTCTTCAAAACTGTCAATGCTGGGGGTAACCCTCCTGGATATGTTGAACCACTTATCGGTTGCCTCTGCCCTAAGCAAGTTTTCACCCCTGGTTCATTCCAATTTGTACCACTGTAATTGGGTAAACAAAATTAAATTGTACCAAATAAAGACTATATTGTGAAATATATTAACTTACTTGTAATGAGATGGGGAAATTCCTTGAAAGAAGAGTAAAGTTTTTGCAGGATTAATGTTGGTGTCAATCCACTTAGCCCATGTAAATAAAGCTCTCTCAAAAGCAGCCACACGATCCATGTCTTTATAATAATGACCTCCTATTTCAATGAAATCCCATCTACAAATTAAAATGAATGGAATATAATATGATTACGTTACGTTATATATAGGTTAGGTTGAAAAATAATATATAGAGAGAGCTAACGTACGGTTGAGTGGTTCCTCTGCGGTTCCACCAATGCCAAGTGTTGAAAATGAGCATGTCAATTCCTTTCCACAACTTGCCACCTTCAATTGAGTCTAGTTTTAATATTCTTCCCTTTTCTTCCCTCACAACGTCCACTAAATACACACTTCGATCCAACATCACGTCGACTTCATAATCCTGAAATAGAAAATCTTTAACATAAATATACGACAAATGTGTATATATCAAGGGAATTAAAATGATAAAGCAACTAGGTACGTACCAAGAAGGTGAATATAGAGACATCGCCAACTCTGGTTGCGTTGTATTTGGTGTTAGGGAGTGATGTATAAAGAAGACATACAAGTGATTGCCACTGGTTTCGGCTTAAAGAATCTCCCACAAACATGATGCTTTTTCCTTTAAATTTCTCCAACAATGCCCCTCCATCAAATCTGCAGTTGGATTTTGAAATGATTATTTTACAACTGGAAATCTAATAAAAAGAAGTGAGAGGGACCCTACCTACACCTTGTAAAAGCATGTGTTAAAACACACGTCCTAGACACCCTACAATGTGGCTGGCCCCTTCACATAAAAACAAATATTTTTAATTTATAGTATTTTCTTATTAGCACATGAAGAAGGGGGGACCTATGTTCAGATATGTTACTTTTGTGGTAATCTCCAATATAATTGACTAAAATATGCCAAGTCTAATTAGATTTAGGGATCTAAAATCTACTTTAAACAGATCATGTCTAGATATTGATCTTCATCAAGTGGTCAAGATCTTAATTGGTTTCTTCTTTCTTAAAAAAATGTTTTTCTTTTGATCGAATACATTGACAACTCTAATAGCATGTTTCAATTTAGCACCTAAACATAATAATTAATGTGTTTATATTAGATACTTTTAACTTGTGTATTCACAAGCGTTCATTACATAGGTAAATTAATTTTCATAAATGTATGTATATTATGGTATTATCGAGATACTCCATTGAGAAATCATTATTAAAGCTGCCACTTTAATTTTCTGGGGGGTGGTCACGGGTCACCATACTATTATAAGCATTCAAGCTCATTTGTTAGCTTTTTGTAGTGTTAGTAATACATGTGTTAGTGATTTCATCTCGTATAAAATAGTACATTGATTTTTTTATGACTGTATGTATGTATAAATTTATAACATTGCAAATCAAATATCATATTGATTTTTATATGAATAATTTATTTCTTAATTAGCTATCAAACATATTCAGTACTACTACGTATTCTGGATTTAATACTTGAATAACTCACTTTCAAATCAGCTACCAAACAACTTTATTTCAAGGCTCACGGGCACTCCTTCATCAATCTAACCTCTAGCCTCCATCACTTTCATAAATCATTGCACATTTCAACATAGATTGTAATTAAACAATTTTAGAATTAGAAAGATACTCAAAACCAAGAATCAAATAACATTATTTACAAGTTTCATTTCAAAACTCATACACTAGTAAAAAAAAACACAGGAATTCACAGCACAATATTATGTTAGCTAAGAGCAATTCAGCGACGAGTGAGTTATTAGAGTTACCTTTGTAAGGAGCATCCATGTGGTTGCCATCTATACTTGAGATAATCTTGGTCAGGACGGCCATTCCTTTGACAATTGAATTCATGTTCAATGAATGGACATTGAGTTGAATTGTAAAGAGGATAAGTTTCATCTTCAATCCAACTTCCTTCGAAAAAGTTGCAACTCTGCTTTGAATTTGCATTTGCATTTGCATTTGAGTGATGAAAAAGTAGCACAATGATGATAGTAAAGAAATTCCAACCCATGGCTCTACTCTACTAATCAAATCTTGAAGAAAAATGCCTCTTTACTATGAGTGTTGTGTCTGTGTGTCATATAGAGTTAGATTGTGTTGAGATCTAGAAATAGGGGAAAGATTGTTTACATATCACAACTTTTCTGTAAAGAAAAAAGTGAGATATATTGTACATACTTATGATTTATGAATTACTTAAAAAATTGTCAGAAAGAAAAGTTTTTCACGTTTCTTCACTTACCATTTATTTATACCACACTAGAATGCCGCAAGGGATGAAGGTAGGGGTGGGCATGGTACGGTCGTTTTTTTTTTTAAAGAACATTACTCTCTTTATTTTAATTTATTTGGTACAGTTTACATTTAGTCACGGTAAGTGATAATTCAAGATATATGAAATAGTTTTTATATATTAAATGGATTTTCTTAAGACAAATACAAAATAATAGCAGACGATGTGCCCCTAAAAACCTAGTAATGTTGACTCAAACTCGTAATTGTATTAAAAAATTGTTTAATATCTATAAATATTTAATTCAAAATCTAATACATAAAATAAGTATAATTCAAGACCCACAAAATAAACATTATGAATCCAATATAAATTATCTGTTTTTTCAGGCATTTAACCAGAATAGTACTAAATACTTACTAACTGTCCACTTGGAGAGGTTACAATTTTACACTCCATTAAATTATATAGTTAATGACTGTGTTTAGGTCGTTTAAAACTTCTTAAATTTGCATTATGTTTCTTCCCAACTGTACAGGTTAATTTGATTGCCATTTGCCAATACTTCTTAACAACACTAACAACTTATTTGGATGGTTGTTACATGTATTCTCTTGTTAGTTAAAATATTGTGATTGTTAAGATTGTTACTTAAGT